ACTCAATCTTTTAATTTGATAGCAGCCTGTGAACTAGTCTAAGACTGGCAATCACAGGCTTACCCCTTGACCGCAGACTTAACAGCAGAATGTGGCCATGCAAATACATTCAGTGCAAGAGCAAACACATCCCTGACCTACCCTGTCATCTTTACCTCTTTCTTTCTCTAACAAAAAAAAAAAAATCATTCCCCAGGTAATATATGAAGAGAGCAGATCCTATTCTGCACTGTTAGTAAGTGAACCCCTTAGAAACATCAACCATGTCCTGCACAGAGATGGCCAGTTTCAGCTGAGCAAAAAACCAAGTTTTAAGCGTTTTCCAAGCCATCATGCAGCTTGACAAGTCAGTACCTAAATGCAGATTTCTAGATAGCGTCCATCCAAGGGACAGTTAATTGCACAAAACTCTGAGATTTTCAGGAGTTGAGATAAGCAGGTTCTGCTGTGCTTGCACCATGGCTCGACCAAGGGTGGGCATCTCTCTGCAGAGAAAGGAGGAAGGAGGACACCATCAGCAGGGAACGCTGCTCAGGCACTGAGAGGGGGCAGAGGCTTTCTGCTGCGAGGCTTTGCCTTTGCCACTGCAGATGGTGGTGAGGAAGACACGCAGCCATGCTACAGCTGCACAGAAGCTGAAAGTACACAGCCATAAATTAAAGGAGACCAACAGTTAAAGAGAAGAAAAATAAAGTTGCGCTAAAGGACACAGAGCGATGCATTATGCTTCTTGTGGCCTGTTTTAAGTAGGACAGAGCAGGTGGAGGGTCCGGTTGAACTGAAGACATAGGGTTTGCAGACAGCTAGTGCTGGTCAACTCTTTGTAAGCTCTTTGTAAGTTTGATTACTTGGGGTAACTATACAGCACAGGACTTCTGGAGCTGGTCACAACACACTTTCAGCCAGACCCACCAGTGAAACAGGGATGTATTTTGCCTATTTTAAAGCAGTTTCCTTTTCCTGCCCAATAGTCTTATCTGAATAGATTACGCTGCTCTTACATCCTAAAATGCAGCTCACGCCACCTTGAAAACTTTCTCTGAGAGCATCTGTTCAGTGAAGCGGTGATAAACTGATGATCCCTTGGCAATTTCTTTTCTGATAAGAGATGTAAATTACTCTCAGCTTCCTTCCTGTACAGAGAATGATGGAGCAGTAACTATTAGGCCGATTTAATAGAGTTAATCCAGAGATAATTTGTGCTTTCCTTACACAGAAGCAGCTGCTGCCATTTTTTATAGAGTTAAAATTCTCTTCAGTTTTAGTATCTGATTTTGGTCCCCTCTTAGATTCCACTTCCAGAGAACTATTTTATGTAGGCAATTCAAAATCTTCACCTTTTATGACAAAATAGCTCTAGGGAGAAAGAGAAATGGTTTGCAGAAGGCTAGCAAAAAAATAAGTGACACTCATACAAATCACAAGTACTGATTTCCTTCAAAAACAGAAGCTCTTTCCTTCTGAGAAAAGATATGAAAGGTAGCATTAAGGGTTACATACAAAGAGGTGCAAAAAGACAGGCATGCATAATTCTTCTTTTGCACAATTACGAATGATGTTTCATGTTCCTTGGTATCATCTAGTTTTGTAGATGTACATCCTCCTCCCTCCCCCTTTGCTTTACAGCACTTGTCATACCAAAGAGAAAAGACAAGACTCTTGCTGAAAATCCCAAAATCAGCTAGACACAACGCAAAAGCTTCAGCAAGAACTGAACGTGCTGCCCAGTTTTCTCTTGGTATTTTTAACAGGGAGTATGTAACATTTACTTTATATTGTGCCATCTTCCCTATTTTAGAGTACATTATTTAAAAGTATCAGGAAGATATTTTTCAGCTTAAAGGAAGGGCGATCTTCCCCATAATCAAGCTATAGGATACACCATGGTGTAGGGGTTGCCCCGGTTGCTGTATGGTTGTTATGTTCAAACCCTGAACCTCACAAACCCTGTGATGTACCAGACATCAGACAGAAGAAGCCTTGCACTTGCCTTTGTTTTGTGCTGTTTGATAAAGGACAATCCATTAGTTCAGAATTTGACCCCATCTGTGAACAGGTGTGAGAAAAGGGATTCATATGAATATTGTATCATCTCTCCTTACCTCATAGTAGCTCTGGACAGCGTTTATAAATGCTTCATCTGCCACAATCTGGGTTTCTCCATTGAGAAAGGCCTGGAAACGATCTTTGATTGTCTGGAGCTGCTGCTTACTTATCTGCAAAACATGCCAAAAGGAAAAAATTAGTCAAGAAAGGTTTATGTATGAGGAAAGGAACCCACTAATTTTTCTGCAATATCTTATCAGGATGCTTATGAAGTGCACTTTGGCTCTCCTTTGGGGACAGCAGCAATAGATGAGGAACCAGCCATGCGTGGGTACACACACACATGCACTCTTCACCCTGGCAAGTTCACTTAAGCATCATGAGCACGTAAAACCACCCTGAATGTCATTTCTAAACAACTCTGCCGCCACAAAATGCATACAAGACTTCTACCGCTTCAGGTATACCTAAGTCAAAAGCACGCTGCTGTGTGCATGCTTGGAAGAGGCTGTTTCAGTGCAATCTCTTCCCCGTTTAGCGTCTCCTCCCCTTCAGGAGATGAGGTTTCATCACCGAACAGGAGGCCTTGCGAGCTGGCTGTTGAAGACGGCACTCATCAGCACTCCGGGGCCTTGGTCTTCCCTCGTTTGTTTTTTTTCCCTTGCTCATTTCTTTTGGCTTGTCACATATAAAACACCAGTCAGGACTAGTGGTGAAAGAATTTAATGCCATTTCATGTCAAAGAAATCATACGAGGGCAAACCTGTTCTACTTATCCTAGCAAGGACTTTCTCTGCTGTCTCTCTGCTGCTCAAAACAGTTTCTGTCCAGCATACAGCTGGTATAACTTACAAGACAGTTCTAATTTTGGCACAATGACATCAATAGAAAGTTTACAAGGGTTTATTCCAGGCTTGTAAGATAACATGTCACTATTTTGCCAATTTATCCGTCAGTTTAAAAACAGATATAGCTAAAAAACCCCCACTTCTTCAGCTTGTAGTGCAGACAAAGTCACAGCAGGCACATAAGTTAAGTACCAGCAATGCCAGCATAACATCTTAAGATGCGGATAACACTCATGCTGAATGGCTGCAGGGATTTAAATGTAGTTGTGCCTGGTTTACCATGGGGCTACTTCAGGTTTGAGGATAAGAATTAATTTAAACAAAAGAGAAGGAAGCAAACAAGAAGTATGTAAGACAACTTCAAACTTAAAGGGAAAAGAGAGCAGTAAGAATGAGGACAACTATTTACTAATGACCAAAAGGTCTAGAGAAGAGTGCTTTTTTCTCACTTGTATGCCAGCAGAAGAAACCAGCCCATTAGAATGGAAGAGAAAAATAAAATTAATGGCTCTAAGTGTCTAAATGGCTTTGAATAAAGTATCAAAAACTACAGAGATCCAAACAACTAGAGCATAATGAAGTCTGACAAACACAGCTAGTGATAAAAAGCGGGAGAGGGACCACTTGGAAAATGCAACAATAAATATCACTAGATCTAGATGATGCGCCATGCGGGGTGTTTAGGGACTTCAGTAACGAACATCATGAATACTGATAATTAATTCTGCAACACCACGCTGAGGAAGGTTAGTGAGCAATGGCAATTTGATGTGATAATCTGGGATTAGTTTATCCTGGTGCTTATGGAGAGGTGTTCATCAAAGCAACATAAAGCAAGACTCAATATGCTCTGCTTCAGAGAACATGGAACAGCCTTCACCACCCCTGTGGGTGCTGGAAAGACGGGTCATTCCCACCCCCAAAACAGCAGCCCAGACTTCACAGGGTCTGACACATGCAACAAGGCTCAGCATCACAGGGCAGGAGCAAGGACCGTCCCTCTAACCTGACCCGCCTCAGCTTGAGCACCATCTGCAATGAGCCCTGTGGAAAAGCACTGCCAAAAGCTCCTGGCTTTAAGGCTGGCAGGATCTAATTTTTGGCTCTAAGAGTCTATCGGCCATGTCAGGCACCTAAAACTCTTTGTGGTGTTTGCCAATAGCACCCTAGACATCATGAGCCCTTGGGCAAAATGCACAGCATCAGACGTAAAGCAGGCTCCAAACCTATCTGAGATGATGGAAGCTCCTGATAGAATTGAAAAGAAAACTGGGTCAGCAATAAGAGGAGCCAGATACAATGTGGTGACTGAGTGGGAGACACCTGTGGGAAGGCGCTAGATTTGTTTTTATTAAGCATTTAATTATCTGGAAGAAGAGAAAAGCAAGATGTTAATTAAATGTATTGATGATTTTGTATTAGTGACCACCATGAACGTCAGGCAGAAACGACAAGGTGATAGAGGCCATAAGAAACCAAGAAGAGAAACAGGAAGACTACAGGTAACATTGAAATCAGGGTGTTGAGGCACAAGGAAAGACATACTAAGAGCACAGATACTCTGAGCCAAGAGGCTTTTCATTTCGGATTGTAACAATGTGCATGGCATTTTTTTTTTTTTCCAGGTTATTTCTTAGGACAACCTCCAGAAGTCCTTGCTTGTTCAATTCCAATAATGCCATCCAGCAGCAGTATTTTATGCTCCTTCCTCAATATTAAACAGGCTACCTTCAAAATGAATGATGCTCCTTGAAATTCCTAGAAACTCCCAATACGCAGCTCACACGTGAGCTCCTGGGGTCTGTGGGAATGAATAATCGGATTTGTCTCTACTGGAGTGTCAGTTGCCTCCTCCTCACCCCCAAGCTCTATGCAAGTATTTTCTCCAGGGAAAAGGAGATCCTCTCTGATCACACCAGGATGCAGCATGGCCCAGTCCTCGGAAGACCGAGGGTCCCGTTAGCCATCCCCACCAGACTGTGAAGCAGCACTGATGTATTGATCTGTGTCCGTGCCACTGTTATGGACAATATCAAGAAAGCAGTCAATGTGAGCCAAAATTAAACTGCACTCATATTAAATTTAGCTTCTGCAGCACAGCAGCAGATGCCTGGTGCAGAAAGTCAGCACCAGCAAGGGAGTGGCGGGGGGCCGACCTGCACATCAACGAAATCTGCCCAACACGCTCCACCTCCCATTTTATGCCTCTTCCCCTCCCCGTCAGGCGCCAAGGGCATCACTGCTG